CACGTGCATCTTCCCGCAGCAACACTAGCGGGCATCTGCGGAGTGGGCCGTGCTCTGTGCTCCAGGGCGCTCGCCCCGCGGGTCAGAGAGCAGCCCAGGAGTAGAGGTGCGCTCTGCCCTGTCCAACCCACCATCCCTGCTGTCCCTGAGCAGACTTCGGCCCGGGCCCCCACACGCTGGCTCTCAGAGGCCCTTCCACGCGCGTGTAGTGAGCCCCACAGACAGGGGCAGCATTGGAAGGGGCTGTCCTGTGTCCTCTCTGGCTGCATGGAGGTGCAGACTCTAGACCTCCTCCTCCACCTTCAGGATCATCCCTGAGAAGACTTCCAGGCCCGTGGGGGTGCCCTGGGGGGCTCCATCCGGCCCACAGGCTGTTCCGCCCCCAAGGGGGCCGTCAGGGATGGGGGGCGAGGCACCCAGGGCCGGGCGGGCCTCCACCAGCCTCTCCAGCGTTCGGTTGAGGGCCTCGACGCCGTCGGCCAGCCTCTGGCTCTGCTCAGCCAGCCTCTGCAGCAGTGCATTCTGCTGGGCCATCAGCGTGCTCTGCTGCTGGGACCAGGAGCGCAGCACGGCACCCTGTCGCCGCTGGGAGTCCAGGAGCCTCCGCTCAAACTCTGAGGCCTCGGCCACCGCGGGCTTCCCCAAGGGCTGGGGTGCTACAGAGGTGGGTGGCGAGGGCCGGGAAGCCCCAGGGAATGCGGCCGCCGGGGGCGCTGAGGCTGGGGAGGCGGGTGGAGAGGGTGAGGAAGTGGCAGCAGGGTAGGCTCCTCGGAGGTCCAGGGGGTCGGCTTCGGGCAGGCTCGGCCCATCCAGTGTCCGCAGGGGCAGCCACAGGCAGCTGGGGGCCTCGTCCTCCTCGTCTGCTAGCAGGGGGAGACAGGAAACGTGAGCCCCATGGCCCAGGACTGGGAAGGCCAGGAGGGGCCACTCGCAGACGGTCCTGCACGTGCAGATATGGGGGTCTCGAGGGGCCCCTCTGTGGTGGCCAGCTGCACCCTCACCAGGACACCAAAGAGAGGGCGAAAGACTTCCTCCAGTAACGCCGAGACTGAAACTCAACCTGGCGGCTCCCAAGCCGGAATGCTACCACCATGCTGCCATCTGTCTGTCCACCAGCCCACCTACACACGTCCACATGCTCATCCGTCCCCTCAGCTCGCTGCCCATCCGTTTGTTCACCAAGCATCCATCCAACCTACCCATCCCCTCCTTCCTTTCATCCTTCCTTACATCCATCCGTCCATCCATCTGTTCATCTCTCAGCCAACCATCCTCAATCCATTCATCCTCATCCACTGTCTATCCATCCTTGATCCACCCATCCATCATTCACCTCTGTCCATCCAGCCACGCGCCCATCCACCTACTTGTGTATATACCTCCCAGCCCTCAGTCCCCCCACCCACCACCCAGCGGACGTCCTGGAGGGATGAGTGGGTGCACATGGAAGCAGAACTTCCCTGGGGCGGCAGGAAGAGCCAGGATTTGTAGTCCGACAAACTGGGCCCCAACGCCAGGCTGTGACCTGGGAAAGCCCTTCTCTTCTCGGGGCCTCAATCCCCTAATCTGCAAATGGACAGTCTGGCTGAGGGGCTGCTAACCTTCCAACTGTCTGCGGGTGAAGGGTAAGCCAGCCCAGGACCGAGGGAGACCTCGCCAGGCCTGAGACACGGGCTGCGCTGGCACCCCATCTCACTAGGCATTTCCCGACGTGCTGCATGGAAGTGGAGGCAGGTCGAGGACTTCACACTGTGGCAGTAACTTTGACTGTACATCCTGGGTCTGAGCCCCCACCCAGCTCATCTATGGCACAGGGGTTCCTGCTTTGGACAGGAAAGGGGTGATGACAGCATCACCCCAGAGGACGGGGCCACAGGCCCCCGGGGAAGCGGGCCAGGGTTCTGAGCCCAATGTGTCCAAGGGCGCAGGTGGCTGCCGGTGCTGCCTCCTCCTCCTTCTCCTCCTCTTCCTCCTCCTGTTCCTCTTCCTCCTCCTCCTCATGGTCACACCCTCCTCTGTGGTCCAGGAATCTGCGGTCCAGGCACCCGCTGATCCTTCGGACTTGGCGGCCCTGGTGCTCTTGGAAGGAGCCACCCAGCCAGTACGTTGCTCCTTCTCGAGGTGAGATGAAGCTTTCTGGAGGTGAGGGCCCTTGGCAGGCACCACCGTTCGGAGAGTTCCCATTAGAGAGGCCGGGCCCTGGGCTTCCCATGAGTCTACCTCGTTCGTCAGTTGCAACCTGTACCTTCACGCTGGGCGGCCCTAGAGGGACCACGCCTGACGCCCTCACATGCTGGCAGGTGGGGGCTGTGGCTAGGGCAGAGAGCCTGCAGCGGGCGTGAACAGACATCCTCCAGCCCTGCTTCTGCCCGATCCTGCAGGCAGGTCCCGCTTCCCCACTGGTGTGGCGTTCACCAGCTGCCAGTGAGGCCAGCCCCTGCCTCAGAAGTCTGATGGCCACCGACAGACAAAAGGGGAGGCCAACAGTGGGCCTAGCCTCCAACCTCAGACGGTCTCGCAGAGTCTTGCGGCTGCCGGTCCCGCGTGCGCACTGCCCACCTGGCTCCCTGAGGGAGGGGAGGTGTGGGAAGGGAGCAGACGCGGTGCCAGGAGGGGGCCTGCCCTTTCCCACTGTTTGCCCCACCTACAGACCCTGCACGGTCCAGACCACCGCCCTGAGACCTCTCCTCCCCCCAGGGCAACTACAGTCCCCTTTGCCAGCACAGCTCTGATGTCCTGAAGCCCCCACAGAACGAGGACCTGGTCCACATCTCTCCCCAGTCTCCACGCCACTCCCAACGGCACAGCCCCCACACTCTGCACTCCAGCCTGCGGTGTCCCGAGCTCACCTGGGCTGCCCCTCCTTTGGCCTCTGTCCTCTCCACCAGGACAACTCCTGCTTGGCGCTCCCCCAGGAAGCCTGCCCTGCCTCAGCCGGGCCAGGGCCCTCGTGTCACTGGACTGGACTGTCCACCCACCCCACCCCTAGGACACACGCTCCCAGAGGAACAGGCTCTGCGGGGTCCATCTCTGCATGTCAGGGCGCAGCACAGAGCAGAGGGCCAGTGAGCAGTAGGGAGCCAGCAGAGGGCGGTTGCTGACCCCTCGATGGACGTAGGCCTGAGCCCACCAGGGGTTCCGGTACTGAACGTGGGTCAAGAGGCCCGTCATCGATCCCTGAGGCTGCCCTTGGCCTCGTATCAAACAAATAAAGGTCTGATCTTGTCCTCACTGAGCCAACTTGTCCCAAGTCAAGTTCTGCCTGCTCCAACCTGGGGGGAGGCCCCCCCAGCTCCAGCCCAGGGCCAGACCACGGGCAGACATGGAGCCACACCTGGCCCAGTGGCAGGTGGAGGCGCAGGAGGCCAGGCGGCCCTCTCTGCGGCCCTCTCCTCCAGGAAGGCAGCAGACGAGGGTAGACCCACCCAGCCTTCTGAGAAAAACGAGAGAAGCCATGGAACGTCCTGCAGGGGCAGCTTGGGGATGCGGCACAATCCTGGGAGCCCCGGCCACTCCCACAGCTGGCCACGCACCCCTGTCCTCTCGCTTGGCAGAGCCAGCAGGCAGAGACCCCAGGCCGCCCCCTCGGTGGGGGTGCAAACCAGACGGGAGGCGGTGCTGACCGTCCTGGGCCCGCAGCCCCTTCCTGTCCGCTCCCCATAGCAGTCCGCCTGGGCTCAGAGAAGACCCTGCAGACCTGCCCCTCCCGGGCCACGGGCTGTCCCCTCACACTGACTTACTTGGTGCCGGCTGGCTCCGGCCAGGAGCTCGCTGGCCGCCTCTGTGTGTGAGGACACAGCCTCAAGGCCGGCTTCAATACTATCTGCAAATCAAGACAACAGAAGCAGTTACAGAGTGGGGACCCTGGGGTCACCCGAGGGCGAGCCTGGGGAGCCCAGCCTGGGGCCGCGGGGGGCGGAAGCAGACAGCATCTGACCCCCTGGTGGTCACTCGGAGGCCCAGGCAGGAAGCCCAGCCTTCAGAGAAGCAGAGGCGGCAAGGATAGAGCACCGGCTGGGCCGAGCTGTAGGGCAGGGAGCCTGGAAGCACCCCCTCGGGGCAGCAGCAGCCCACTCAAGACAGGGTGCGGGCCTGGCTCTGCTACAACTCTGCACCCTGGGGGCGACTGCACAGGCTCACAGAGCGGCTGTGAAGACAGCGTGACGGGGTCTGCGAACACCCTCCTCTGCGCGCTGGCCATGGGTGTCCGGGCCCTGATCAGCCGGTTCTGACTACCGTGCGGGGCTGAGTGGGGGACCAGGGAATTCGCCTGGTAGGTGTGTCAACACAGCCCCCAAGATGTCACACCAGCAGCACACCTGAGCTGCTGACGAGGTCCAGGGGCTGCCCGCGGAAACCTGAAGATTTCGCTCAGCGATGCCAGCGGTTAAAAGGCAGCATCATGTAAACCATGCACCAGACCCGTCCCCACCCCACCGCCGAGGGGCATGCAGGGCAGTGGGGAGTTAGGGCTGCGGCACTCGACCCTGCGAGGAACCGGGTTTGAATCCAGGTGAGGACCCCCCTGCGCAGTGTCTTCTACCAATGAATGGGAAAGAGCCCCGTGCCCGCAGATGAGCAGCTGAGAGCCCGCAGCCAGGGGCGCTGCCCTCAGCACAGACCAGCTGCTGCCGCTGCACCGGACACAGTAACACGTGAAATGAACTCTTCCAGGAAGAGCAGACACGCCTCCAAATTCACACATTTTCAGAGCTCTGGAGGCAGAAATGGCTGGATTCCAATCACTCCTCTTCCTGCAGCTGTGCACCTGGGCGCCGCCCGAGGCCTGAGGCCGGCAAGGTCCCCTCAAAGGCGGGAACCGCCCCGGCTCGGCGTCCTGAGGCCCCGTGGGTGTGCTCCCCACCAGGAGAGGGTGTGGGCGGGCCCTCCTGGAGCTGGGGCCTGCAGGGTGCCTTTGCCGCCTGCCAGGGGCGCAGGCCTCCCGTGGTGCCTCTCCAGCCAGCCTAGATGAGGAAGAAGGAACGCAGCTGCCCCGAGGCAGGACCAGCCCTGCGGGGGGTCGGGGGAGGGCCCCACCCAGGCCCCCGCCCCTGCCACCACCAACAACGTGACTAGGAGCTACCTTGTGCTCCAGACTCTGTCGGCAACAACCTGGCGGAGCCCCGACACAGAGAGAGGTGGCTGTGCCTGGCGGGCAGCAGTGTCTGGGCCAGCCGTGAGCTGGGGTCACACTCCTAGCTGGCTTTTTGCTCTGACCTGCAACCACACACGCTCTGGGCTGCGCGGGGACCTGCCCTCAGACTGCCCAGCCCTGGTCTGCACCGAGTCGGCGCCCCGCGGCAGGGAGCCTGACTCTGATGGTAGCGTACATCCCAGAGGCAAGCGCCCCCGGCGGCCAGGGTGCACGCAGCCCAGAGAACAAACGTCCTGTGGCCCCCGGGCTGGATCGCAGATCTGCTCAGCCCCCAGATCACACACGGCTCCACCCTGGGACACCGTACAAGCAGACCCCTGGCTCGTGGCCAGCGACCCTCTCCTGGGCCCTGGGGGCTGCCAGGCAAGCGGGGGCACCCCACCACACGGCCTATGGTGCTGACGCCTCATTGGCCGCGGGCCACCCCCTTCACCTCGTCATAAAGATTCCAGGTTGACCGGGGACAGCCCTGCAAAGCCCAGTCCAAGTGGGGGGAACCCAGGCACAGGCACCCCTGGGGGGCCCTACACGCGGCCAGCGGGCTTTCCTCAGCCCTACAGCCGGGAGATGCCCGTACGCCGGGATCGTGCCTCAGCCCCAGGCCAGTGCCGACCCAGAGGGCAGCGCTGGCGGGGCTGGGCCTCCAGCTGTGGTCTCCACCATCACCCCCAAAACCAGGCGCTGCAGCCACTTCCCTGCTTGGCCTTAGCCTCACCCCACGTTGCTCTCACACATTTAACAAATCTCAGGACCCGTCGGCACGGTGTCGGCCACTCCCCGCAGAGCTCACAGCACTAAGGGACCAGCCGGTTGGCTGCCCTGATGGAGGAGAGCCCGGGAGGGGAGCCATGGGGTCTGGCGGAGGGGGCACTGGCCCACCAGGGTGGACAGGAAGCCTTCCGAGCCAAGCACCACACCCAGGGGACAAGCGCAGTCGCAAGCTCCCACCTCACTCCAGGGCTGGGGGCTCATGGGAAGGTCGGAGCACCCAGGGCCACACCCATGCTGCCCGCTGCCCGCCCTTCAGCACCCCAAAACCAGGTCTGGCTATGCCTGTAGGAGAGCGGGTGGCCTCCCCAGGACTATCAGGTGGGCCCCACCCCACCCCATCATTCAGGCCCACGACCAAGCCCAGCCCAGGGCACGGGCACGTCGGGGTCTGCCTGCATCTCTGACTGGCCCAGGCTTGCTCTGCACAGACCCCCCACTAGAAGGTCTGCTGGGGCCTCTGTTGGTGGCATCTGGGGCCTCTGCTTGTCCCCACGAGGCTGAGTCCTGCTGTCCACTCTGCAGCCCTCAAGAGGGAGGTGGTCCTGCTTCTGGCTTCATCCTCAGTCTTCCCAGCAGCTCCCCAGGAAGGGGTGGGGAAGGGTCCAGCAGGACTCAGCTCTGAGCTGTGGGTGGAGCCGCTGCATGCAGACAGCAGGTGAAGGGCGCTCCTGACGAGGTTCAGAGGTGTCTTGAGGAGGAGGACGAGGAGCAGGCGGAGCGGGCAGGAGGAGGCGCTGCAGGCGGCAGGAGTGAGCCAGCCCTGCCCCGGAGTCAGAGGCACTGTGCCACCCGCGTCTTCTTCACCAGGTACAGACCCTTCTGAAAAGGTGGGCCCTGGAGGTGGGCCCACGGGCTCCGAGGGGATCAGCCTGCCCTAGGAAGCTAAGAGCCTCCAGATAGCGCTCTGGCCTGGCCTGGTCTGGGGGCTGCGACCCGGGGAGAGGGGCCCCCACAATGAGGGGGTCAGAGGGAGGGTGCGGTCACCCCTACTCCCTCCCCTACACCCAAGATAGGGCACACAGCGGGCAGGGAGCTGAGCTGAGCTGGGCTGGTGACGGCTTTCCACGAGCAGTCCAGCGGTTCACCTGCACCTCAGCTCCTGTGGGTTTCTGGAGGCTGGTGGCCGCACTGTCACATGGGACAACCCCAGATGCCCCCAAGCCCGGGCCAGGGCCGACCTGACTCAGCCTCAGCTCCTGCACTCCCTGGTTTTGAGCCTCCATGCCCCCATCTAGATGCCAAGGGGCCTCCGCTCTCCCCTAATCTTGCTCTCGGCGGTCATGCGCTGGAAGCCCCTTGCAGGCGGTGAAGGGACCACTTACTTGG